CCAGGCCTGGGGGGGGGGGGGGGGGGGGGCGAAACGATTACCTGTTGCAAAGGAGCCCGTACCTCGATACCACAACACACGGCAAACCAGTTCATGCAGTTCCCTCTCCTCAAAACCCACCAGAACGAGAACGCCTGCCTACACCAAAAACACAGGCGTTAGAACAAATACCTGGTGTGGTAACGCGCCGAGGGGGTGCCCCCCGCCCTGCCCCGCCGCCGCCGCCGCCGCCGCTTGCGCCGCCCCGAGCCCCCTCGCTCTCCCGGCGCTGTCGTCCGCCGGCGCTCTCTGCCGGAGGGGGTGGTGGAGCAGCCCCACGGTCATCTCCACCGCGGTGGCGGCCGCCATCGGGGCCAGCCCCGGCCGGGTGACGGTGCACTGCTGGTCGAGGGTCCGGTTCAGGGAGGAGTTCTCGGGGGCGACGACGTCCGTGCAGAAGTAGCACCCGAGCCGGGAGGGCGTCGCCCGTCGGACGGCGGCGGAGGCGGCGGCAGCAGCTGTTGCCACGGTGGTGGCATCGGTACCGGGAGGACAAGACGGCGCCGTAGGCTCACTCTCAGGTTTTCGAGCTTCCGGTGATGACGCCGCTGCTGCGGATGCTGCGGATGCTTGCGGCTTTCCTGATTCTACCTTCTCCGCCATCTGCGAGGGTGACGCCGCCGCCCCTACCGCGGGTGCCTCTGCCTGACGTTTTCTTCCGTTGTCCTCCTTCAAAGTCTCCCCCCCTTCCCCGTCGTCCGGGCTCCCGCCGTGCCTCACCACCAGGAAAGAGTCCAGCCCGAGCGCGGCGTTGACGCAGATCTTGTCGTGCTTGGCGGCGAGGAGCGTCGGCAGCCAGCGGGACTCCCTCGAGTCCGTCAGCACGAACACCACGTCGTGCGAGGAGACGAGCTCCTCGAGCGTCTCGGCGTCGCGCCTCGCCCGCGAGGCCTCCGCCGGCGTCGTCAGCGGGTGGCCGGGCATCGGGATCGTCAGCACGTGCCCCGAGGACCTCGCTCCCGGGTACACCGCCGACAGGGCCGCCGCCGCCGCCTCTGCCTTGAACCTGCCCCCGCCCTTGCAGTCCTCGAAGGCGAAGAGCGACTGACGGACCGGGTTCGAGTACGCCACGCGCCCGTTGTCCGCGAAGGTAATGTGCTGAATCCCCCAGCCCATCAGGCACCGGGCGACGGCGCAGCCCAGCGTGCCTGCGGCGGCAAGGGGTGGACGTTGTTGGGCGAAACGGTAGAATAGCACCGAACACCTCACCCACGCGACGAGAGAGACTACTACGTGTTCGCTAAACCGGTGACGGGTTGCCACCAATTTTTCAAATCCGAATCGCTGTTCTCCTACGATTCCCTCCAGCACAACCAAGAAGCAAGTTACACCCAACGAGAGCCCTACACACCATCGCAGTTCCCGAAAACACCTTGGGTTCACCGGGTGTTTGCCCCCCCCCCACCTCCCCCCGCCCGCTCAAAACTCACCCGCTCCCAACAGCAAGCACTTTGTCTCGGCCAGCAGCTCCACGTCCAGCTCAGGGAGGGCCCTCCAACGCATGAGCTTGATGTTCAGACGCACGCTGTTCTCGGCGAGCCTCGCCGGGTCCAGCACGGAGCTGAGGTCCGACATACGGGGCCCCGGCCGGCCGGCGGCGTTCGGCTCCCACCCAAGGGACCCCACACGTGCCGGCAGCCAAGCCGCTTTTACCGCCGCCGCCGCCTCCCCGGGACCGCCCGAAACGGAAGGCGCCGCGGATAGGTCGATGTCGAGGACGACGCTCCGGCCGAGGAGGCTCGGCCCGCCGCCCGTAGTGTGAGCAGCAGCACCGCCTGCATGACGGGGGTGGCGGACGGGTGATGGCCTTGTGATATGTTCTTGTCTGGTTTGTACGTCGTTGTGTTTTCGTTAGGATGATGACCTTGTGGTGCGTATTCCTGTCTGGTTAGTATATGTATACGTTTGCGTTGTCGCTTGTGTTGACGGTGGGGCAAAGCGGGGCCTCGAAAGGACGTACGTACGCATATCAGACATGCTTCGTGCAACATCAACTGGGGTGCCGTTCGTCCTTCTTTGAACAACATGTGGCGCGTGCGTGCGTGGGCTGAAAAAGGTGGGACAGGCTATTGCACAAGCTGCCGGAGTCACGTACACACGTATTGTGGGCAGAAACACTATCTGCGACCAGCACGAAAGCTGCGCACGACCAGGACAGCGTGAAACGAGTCTTGCGGCAAAAACGGGGTTGATTTCCGCAAAAACGTCAAAAGTTTCCGACCACCTCCACCACAAAAACCCCAGATAAATTCGTCAGGTCTCAACCACAACCGCACAAAAAGTGAACACCAGCCAGCAGATGAAACGGAAGCTCACCAGCAGCAGTAGCAGCAGCAGCAGCAACAGCAGCAGCAGCAGCAGCACCGGATCCCGCCCCCGCCGATGCGCGCGGCACGTGCTCCCTGAAGCAGAGGACCCTCGCCCGTTTCACGCCCCACCTGGCCGAGAGCAGCACCAGGAAGTTGCGGAGGGGCCACCCGGGCATCCCTCCCGGCTCGGAGCACGGGTCCACAAAACCAAACACCACCGTGTCGTCGCCGACCTCCCCGCCAGTCCTCTCCCTCTCAAACTCCAGAAGCGACAGCACCCTCAACCCCGCCGCCACCGCCTCCTCCCCATCACCATCATCTCGCCCCCCGGGCCGCGGGTCCTTCACGACGACGAAGAACGGGGGGCAGTGGGGGCGCCCGGTGCCCTCCACGGACCGGGCCCACAGGCCGGCGAGGCCCCGCACCACCGAGGCGGCGTCTGCGGGGCCCCCGAGGAGGACTCCGGGGGCGGCGGCGGAAGCCGGCCTCGAGGAAACAAGCCGGAAGAGGGCCTGGCTGCCGAGGGTCGGGAAGGCGAACCAGTGGAGGAACGCGCTCTTCTTGAGGTCGGCGAAGGTCAGGAGCAGGAAGCGGAGGAGGAGCTCGGGCTCGGCGACGGCCCGGTCGCTCTCGACCGCGTCCGCCCACGTCTCGCGAGCGATCGCCGCCAGCGCGGCGGGCTTGTCGAGCTCCTTGAAGGCCTGGCACGCGCGCGCGGAGTATGTTCATGTGGCGAGTGAGGGAGGCGGGGATTTGAGAACCTTTGGCAGGCAACTTGCAGGTAGTTTTTTTCCGAGGCTACGCGCGAGGCTACCGATAACCGTCACCAGTCCCGCGGGGGTTATTGCCCTTGTACTGCGGTCAGGGTGTTGGTTGCGATCATAACTGGTCGCCGAGAGAAAAAAAACGCAAAGACAACATCAGATTGTCTACGCTGCCGTGCGCTTGTTTCTGTTCTGGCACTCCGTTCACTACCACCCCCGGGCGCTGTCCGTTACTTGATTCCAACGGCAGCAACCGCCCACCCAACCGCCCACCCACCCCGCTGGAGAAACACCTTACGAGTCATGCGGTGGCACAAACAGGCGACTGCAGCGAACAAGGCACCAATCACACTAAGGCTAGCCGCTTACTTCCTTGGTGTTGACGTTCTTGACGTAGCCAATTGCGCGGCACTCTTCGAACCGCGCCCCCGGTCCCGCCGCCCGCCGCCCTTCGTCGTCCGGAGAATCGAAAGACGATTCGCCCAGCAGGTTGAGGCGGCAAGGTGTCCTGGCGTCGTGACCGGAGCCATAGAACCCGTATATCGGCTGTTGGTAAGCGTGTGTAGGGTGGGGGAGAGGGGGGATCGGTTGCGGCGACGATTTAGGCGTTGGTATTTTTCTCTCTGTCGGTGATTGGTTCATCTTGTCTTGAGTTGCCTGGATATGCAATGTGCATGCATGTATTTCTCCGGTAGTCTTACGGTGTTGCAGGAGAGAGAGAGAGAGAGAGAGAGAGAGAGAGAGAGAGAGAGAGAGAGTCCTAGACCGAAGAGTACAGTCTACAATACAAGGTTCTTGGCGCTTTCGCGCCATTGCCCAAATTGAGCGATTCCAAGGCAACGGTAAATTCAAAGTGCAGAGACCAGGCCTTAGGTGAAGAACGCACTCACCACTGTTGTGTTGCACTGTGTTGAATGGAGAATACACTTGATTGAAGGATCAGGCCGGGCGCAACTACAATTATATATGCTTTGTTTGTCTGACACTAAATACTGAAGGGTGAGAGCCATCAACGACAAAATTCACAGAGAACACGCTGCCTGTCAGTCCGTCGTCCCTAAACGATTATGGTATATTTTCGGGTCAGTGGCGCTTCGCGCCGCCGCCGAACGAAGAGAAGCGACTGTCTTCTTGTTGATCGTTTACAATCGGAATATTTCCAAGAGGAGATCAACGCAGACGAGCGCTGAGAGAGCAGGACAACCCGTAAAAAAAAAAAGAGAAGTAAGATAGCCATTTCAGATCAAGCCTTTTTCAATAGATACAGATGAATTCGTTATGACATACTAAATAAGCAAAAACAAAACAAAAACAAACCGTAAGAAGACTCAAATCGTACGAAGACTACCGAGGGAGTGTTAAAAGGCTGAGGGCAGAGCCGTTCGGAGGACAAAACGAGTCCCGGCTCGAACGCCAGCACTGACATCCTACCATGCAAGACCATGAAACAAGCCACAGTGGCAGCAGCACTCCAGAGGGCCTCTCAAACGCAACGAGGATGCGCTCATATGAACATATATCGCCCGACACGCGCAAGGAAACACGTGTCCCGCCTCCATCTACTGTATACTTCTCAACAACACGAATTTGGTGATGGTCCCGGTTTAGCGACTACGAAGCGACCACAAAATCGCGCGGCACCACTTGCACTTCGGCTAACAGCCGCTCTACCGGCGAGAGCTATCTGCCCTGAATGGCGACTATATTCTCTCCTGACACTAGAGGTCGCCGAACTGGACCCACCACTACTGCTGTAGGAGTTTCGTGCCGTGTATACGTGCAAGAGGTAGTCGTTGCCCTGTCGCGTGTTTTACCTAAAACAGGCCCACTCACACCTTCATCCGGCCGTGCATGAAACGGACAGCACGATCAGAAGTCGCGTGTGCGTGTTGGTGCAACTGAAACACTTGACACATACTTCTACGTGAACCTCCGGCACGCGTCAGTTCAAGTACGTACCTGCACGCGTACACCGACGCGACGGGGAATGCCCGTGGTAGCTCGACACGTGTACCAAGAACCAGCAGTGTCCTTAACACCACTGCTGTTTCTACTGCCGAAGCCGCTGCTGCTGTTACTCGTTCTGTGGTGCAGCAAAGCAGTCTTCCGAGCAAGGCTGGTAGGCCTGTTTAGGTCGCTCGGCGAGGTTGTCGACTTACATTGCACACGAATGTTCTTCAAACTCTCACGGACTTGCATCCTTGTACAAGTACTGCACCTGTGCGTCGTCGTTGAGGCGGTACGTGTCCAGCTTCTTGGTGGCGAGCTCGGTCCAGAATTCAACCTTCACCAGGCTCGAGAAAGCCTGTGATGACGAGGAGAAGGTTGAGAAGAGTTTCGAGCTTTTCTTCTTCGCACACAGGGCTATCGCCCGTAAGTCGTCTCAAGGGCGAAGAGAGAACGGCGAAAACGCGGGGAAATAACATCGCTTCCAGCTGTAAATGTAGTGTAGCTGCAACACGTTCCCCGTATCGGTGCCTAGTGGGTACGTTCTGCTAGAGAAAACGAGGATACAATAGAGCCTACTCTCACCACAAACTTCAGCGCATCCCCTGGTCCCGTGGTGCTAGTCATGGCGAGTGTTGGCGTCTATCTCTGTGTCTGTACCTCGCCCATGTCGGCAGCTCGCGGGCAAGAGCATTGATTCGGTCCGCGTCCCGACGAGGTACCAGCAGGTACGCACAAAAAGGTTCAGCGCACTTTGCGCGCCCCCCAAAAGCGTTGCCGTCGCTTGCTGATGTCTGCCGAGTGAGCCGTTTCTACAGCACCACCGCCGTGAATGCGTCTCGGGGCCACATTGACGCTATTGCTGACCGGTGCTGCCATGTCTTCGACAGAAGCAGCCACGAGGTGAGAGAGTGAGATAGGTTTCGCCGTGTTAGAGAGAAGGGCGTCGATCAAACAGGTGATTCCGCTTGCATGTGTAAAAGCGCGCTACTCTGTACAGGGACGAAAAAGGGCCGGCGGCCATGGACGAGTAAACCCTACTAATGTGTGCGGAGGCCTGCCTCCGTGGATATAGTGTTGTTCGTATCAGGTTGGTGCATTCGGTCCAATGCAGCAGACAACAGCACAGCACATTGCGCTTCGATAGTGTCGTCAGCAAGATCAACAACGTGTGCAGCCTTTTGTGCAGCCTTTTCCCCGGATTCCCTCAAGCCAGCACACCGGAGCGGGATGTCTTTCTGCCAGCCCATAGTTGTTGTCAAGATCAACATAGCCGGGCATGGCGCAACAGCGCGTGGCAATCAAAAGGATCACGTACCTTTGGCCTTCCTGTTTCGCGCGTGCTGTTCTTGCTTGAAAGTATGAATCATGGTGGGCCACCTCGCCCACCCCGGCGAAAAACACGTACTTCGAAGTACTATTCTTCTACAAGAGCACACACACATTCGAGTGTCGCCCTCGCGGACCGCCGTTAGTGATGTGCCACCGTTCCATGGCCATCTTCAAGCCACGCGCAGTATTTTCAAGCAGAAATCCTCTGCACTGCCGACCGTAGCCTGTGAACTCCGTCATCACGGGACGCCTCGTCATAAACGGATGTCTGCGTGATGTTGTCAATTTTTTTACCTTTTCGGATAAGTTTGTCAACCGTGCCAAGTTGAACAGGATACCGATACCTCGGCCTTCGCCCCCCCGCCGCGCTCAGGGGTGTGGGTGTGCGTATGTATTTGAGGCCGTATTGATGCGTTAACGCGTAGAAACACGTGCACATTAAGAACTAAACACCGTCTTCCGATACTTTCGCCTGTTCACGCTGTCGTCGCCGTTGCTCGCCTTCTTCTCGATGTGCCCTCGCAACAACAGCGGTAGTGCCGGCAAGGGGAGCATACGCTGCCTATTTTCAGACATCGACGGTAAGGATTCATGGTTGTTGGGGCTGGGCTGCGGCGGTTGTTTGTACAACCTCTTTCGATGGTGTTCGCCTTCTTAAAGATGTTGGGTTTGGCGGCCAAACCCCCCGTAACTCTCGGTGCTCACTTGACGCCAATTTCTTTCCATGAAATCAGCCTCTTTGATGTTCGCATATGATGCTGGCTGTACGGTACGCGTTCCTCGGCGTTGATGCACGTTTCGACCATTGCGTCCAACGGTACAATAGCCCACTCAATAGAGTGGCGTATTAGGTCGTAGCATGCTTGCCTGTCACAACTTTGATTCCCCACGACGACAAGCCGTCTAAACACCCCCCCAATCCGAACCTTGACGGATCAAGCAGGGACCCTTGTCCACTACTACGAGAACGAGGCCGACGCACCCGGGATGCCGGAGGTCCTCCCTCTCCCCGAATCCGCAACCGGACGCAAGGCCCGAATCTCAATAGAAACCCTGAAGCTCGCGGCGCAAGTGCGGGCGAGCGGCGCGCGCCTGGTGCTCGTGTCGGGCACCCGATACTCGACGTTCGTGAACCGCCTCCCTTTCCTCCCGCGCGCCGACGCCTACGTGATCGAGAACGGGGGGCGGGTTTTCTACCCGAAGAAGGATGTCGCTTCGGTGTCGGCCGCGGCGAGGAGCGGGGACAAGGGGCACACGGAGGTCAACAGCGGTGAAGGAGGAGGAGGCAGCGGAGAGCCTTCCTGCCCGGATGAGAAGTCGGCGGTTGGAGACCCCACGCTGACGGCGCACGCGGCGTCAGCGCTCACGGAGGACCTGAAGTGGAGGGAGACGATGGAGAGCGCCACCGGGCCGGCGTCGCAGGACGCGATCGCGCCCGAGGACAGGGAGGGTCCGCTCTGGGACGTCTACCGGACCGCTGTTGCCGAGGGCTTCGAGGTGGACACCAACACCTACTACACCATGATTAGGTGCTTGTTTTCACGGTTTTTTTTTAGGTGTCCAGGACAAGCTGGCGACGCGGTCCATCACTGTGTTGCTGCTTTTGCTGATTATTCCCTGCAATGGTTTGCAGGAGCGCCCCTTAGGGTGGTAGTAGCAACACGGGCTCCCTTTCTTCGTTTTGAATACTTGTGAGGAAACCCCGCAATCCTTGATTGGCGCCGCTCCACTCGATCCAGGATCAAGGTTAAGACGGGCGGCAAGAAGAGGGCTCGAGAGAACCCCGAGGGAAAAGGGGCCGAGGATCCACAGGAAGAAGAGGAGGAGGAGGAGGAGCGGGGGGGTGAAGCAGCCATGAAAAAACTGTTGGCCTCTCTGCCTTCCGACCTGCGCGTCGTGACAAACTTCGGCTTGGTGGACATCTGCCCGTTGCGGAGCGGGAAGCACAACGCCGCGGCCTTCTTGGCCAGGGAGCACTTCGACATTCCTCTGGCGAACTGCGCTTCCATGGGAGACGATGACAACGACATCGCCCTGGTGAGCGCGGAAGAGTGTGTTTTTGGATCTGCAGTGCTCTGCTGTTTTCACGGACCGCTCTCGTTGCGAAGAGGTCGTCCGTTGCGCTTGTTTTGGGTTCCAGACCAAAGGTAACAGAGCCCCGGGGCCGGGGCTGATACAGCAACAGCGTTAGATCTCGCAACTACTTCGGTTGTCGCTTTTGAGAGAGATACTGGCACGGCAAATATCGAGTTGTGGGTTTGGCTTGTATACCCCGGTGTTGTCGATGAGGGTATCCCTGCTAAAAGCGCGTTCAGTTGTTTCTCTGTATACCACACGGGTCGCGACACATCCTTCATTGTCGTCGGATAACATTTTGGTTGCCTCTTTGCGGATGATTCCGTGAGCTACGAAAGGATATGGCCTTGTGTTGGGGCCGGCACGTTTTTCCGTCTGTGCTGGAGGTATGCCATAAAAAAGCGCACGAATTGGCAGGAGCGCGACTGACTCGACCAACACGACGTGTTTATTCTTCTTGCGCCGTGCCTTTTCTGTTCCCATTCCTCTCTTCCTTGCTTGGGTTCAATCTGCGTCCGGTCTGCGGTGACTGCGCCGGCAACGGCGGCGGCGGCGTCTTGCAGGCCAACTCTATGGGGAAGGGGGCCTTCATCACCACCTTTTCCTCCGAGTCCGTCGAGGCTGCGGCCAAGGGGAACCCGGAGCAGTTCACGGTGGCCAAGTCCGAAGGAGTCCAGGCATCGGAGGAGATGCTCAGGCTCATCGTGGCAGCTTGCAATTGAGCGCAAGGGTTTGCCGCAGCGGGGGCGGTCACGGTGTCGTCGGTACGGGCGATGTTGCTGTTGGTGGCACTGCTGCGGCTGTGGTGTCTATTCTCGTAGTATCTTGTAGCGGTTCCACGCCATTGGTTGTGCCCAGTCACCGATACGTGATGCGGCCTTGGTTGTCCGAGCTAATTAACATGTGATGCGGCCGAAACGTTGTGTACAGCAGGCTCAAGGGTGGGACTCGAAAGTGGGAATCTTGTCGGCTGTAATTGGTTGTGCCGCCGCTCCAAGTGTTACCATTTGTTTCAATGGGCAGTGGGATCCAGGCACGCGCACATCATTGTAGGTAGAACCTTCGTCGGTAATTCGTTGTTCTCATTGATCCTTGAGCGTCTAGGTTTTCAGGTCTCTCGGTAGACAAGAGCCTCCTAGAGTTTGTAGTTGGGTGAGAGGGCAGTGTTTTTGTTGTGATCCAACACTGTATCCTTGGAATGCTCTCACTAGTATACCACCTGCAAGGTGCCTGATAAGTGGTAACTTGATGGCGGGTACACGTGCAGAAGAGGACGCCGGTGGTTATGGGCGTTTCTGTGGCTGGCCGCCTAGTTGAGAGACCAAGGTTTTGTATGCGGGGATGGACAAAACAGACTGGTTGAATGTCCTAACATTCCCACCGCTGTTTAAACCATGTTTTTTCAGCACGGCTGTAGTCATCCACCGTAGCGTGCAATCTGTGCGTCTTGTTCCGAACGGATGCGGCCTTTTTTTGGTTGCGTTTGTTTCTGCGCTATTTATTTGTTCATTTTCTTGCATATAGTTAACACATCCATCTCTCAATCTGTCATCAACGGGTCACGGCCAACCCAAATCGAGTGTGCGCGTTATGTTATCCATGGCCGGAAGGTCGCTCTGCTTCTTCCAGCCTGCCCGTACACCGCAACTATCCTGCTGCAGCGGAACTTTGTACGGTAGTATGTAGTGCCAGTGCTGCATGCGCACAGGTCCCTTGGTTGGGAAAAAAAAGCTCCGAAGGCTACAGCCTGGTTTTTTGGGGGCAAGATCATGTTTTTTTTCTCGCCTCCATCGTGCTTGGGAACAAAAAATATCCGACGGCGTGTGAAGATCTTGATTGACTCGTATTTACCGGTCGCCACGTCGCCACGCCCACGTGCATACATGTCAAATATCCTGCCATAGCAAAGGAACAACAAATACAAGGGCTGCATGCGCAGGCCTTTCGACTTGACGGTAAGATACTGTGACTCTGCCTCTCGTGGCTACACACAGGCGCATGTTCTCAAACAAGTCTAGAATACAGCAGAGTCTACAGTACACGTAATCTTTCCGCCCATTTTGCCTCATTGTGTGGGCGGCCGTACAGCAGTAGTACATGGCACCTGCCGACACGAGGACGTTTAGCACCCGGGAAATATTTGCCGCCCTAATCGTATCTCGTGGTCCTTATTTCGTTCTCGGTTTTGCTCTCATGGTCACAGCAGTGCCGGGTAGCTGTAAAAGCGTGGTCGGTCCGTGACATACGACAACGACCCTCTTCATGGTTGGTTGACGGTTTCATCTCCTCCTGCTCTCTCTCCGTCTCCCTCTCTCTCCCTCCTCTCTCGGCTACATTATTTTAGCTACAGTAGTTCTTCTTCAGGTGCAGCTGCTTGGCTGGAGGCGAAACTCAGTCCTGCTCGCGTACGGCGAAGCACGTGATACCCGGAAGCAGGCCACCACGACCAGGTATGCGGGGAAGGAAAGCAGCGCCAGCGCCGGCGCGGACGCACAGAAGTCAGCGCTCGTTTCAACTTCAAACACGCGAAATGACTTTACCTTTTAGTCTGCGCATTGTTTGCGTGCAGCAGAATCACTCTCTCCCTCTCGTAGGACCTTGACAGCGGCAGCAGCCTTCTCGGCCTCTCTGTTGCCCCACCCCCCTGCCTCCTCTCTCTCTCTCCAGTAGAGCTGGCAAGCAGCTCGGAAGGAAGGAACACGTCTCCCCACCAGCAGCTTCGAGAAGGCCAAGAGATGGAAACGCGCAATTCTCCATCCTTGTATCAACTTCAGAGGTGAGCTAAATATTTTAGTTGCTCCTATGCATGCAGCAGCAGCAAGCAGCTTTTTGTATCCACCAGGCGGCTTCCTCGTCGCGCCCGGCAGCAACGCTGCTGATACATGGCCCTTACTTTGGGCGTACCGAGATATAGCAAGGTGTGTAGTTCCTTTTATTGCTCTCCGGCCTCACTGCTGAGAGACAGGGGCGTGGTGCCATCTGAACTGAGATGCGGAATTTTTTCCTGCTGGTGCTGCTGCTGCGGATGAGTTTGCTGTTCCTCACGTACACATGCATTACCCATGGTCTCGGTACGTAAGTATCCCCGGTATTCAACATCTCGGCCAGGGATACCTCTCTCGGCATCTGTGCTGTGATGGCGACAGCGAAAGCCCAGACGTTGTGACGCAGTCGTCGGTTGTCCTGGTGCTCAACTTGGGGCTGAATACTCCGCCACCCCGTGGCAAAACCCTTCCCATTTTGAACTGGTGACGGTCCGGCAAACTCGCCGCCGATCTGTACATCAGCTTGTGCGTGTTCATACGTGCTACCGTCCCTCTGTTCTATTGTCCCGTTAGGCTGGCCCGGCAAGCTCACATCGGCGCCCATGACTTCTCGGCCATGTCCAAACCCGCGCTGTTTGGCCACCTCCGCGCTAACGTGAGTTCTCCGTGCTTGTTCGTTGAAACCCAGACGTGTGCTAGTTGATGTCATACTACATTTTGTACGTATTTGAAGACGCCCCGCTACAGGTACACTGCTGTATTTTTGTTTTTTGGTGGAGAAAGTTGGAACGTTGGACGCGCCCCAATGACCAAACTTTGGAGGGGTCGCAGGGTAATTGATTTCATTCGCACCTGTGCTTCAACGCTGGATTGGGCCAGGGAGTGGCCACACCTCGTTTCCGCCGAGGGTGCTGTTTCATGCGGAAAATTCTCATCTTCATTGATGGGAACTACACTTCAAGATAAACAGCCGAGGTCGGGTTCCGATGTCTGGCACTACACGTAGGATAGACTTACGTGTTTGCGTACCTCACCACAGCAGCAGTATGTAAAAGAGGTGTGTGTGTGTGTGTGTACCTCTCACAAGGAGGGCCAGGCCGTATGCTGATCATCGGCGTAGATTCATGTACATAGAGGCCAAGCGCTAGGGCCTGTCCCCTGGGTGATTGCTCTCCGCCCGACCTGGCCGCCAGCACTTGCGCACATCTACATAAATATCTACTTACTTCGTGTCCAGAGTCTAAGCTATGCATATATAATGTATGCACTCCACGTGTCTTTATTCACACCCCGGACGGCCCAACGAACAGTACGACTACAACCGGTTGGAGCGCGCGCACCACATCGCCCTGAAGCGTGACATTGACCGGGGCAAAGAGTGCAGTACCGCCTCCAGCAGCAGCAGCAGCAGCGGCAGCAGCACCAACATCAACGGCAATAGCAGCAACAAGCGGCAGTGCCTAGCCGGAAGGGATGCACGGAGCGGTGGCGGTCGTTCATCCCCGTCGGCCGAAGAAGAACAAGGGCACGGCCTGCCCCCGGCCTCCATCTTCGTACAGACGCGCTCCCGTTCAAGAATGCTACTGCGCGCTGCAGAAGGCAACGCGAACGCGGATCAACCATCGGTCCCTCCGGCACGGCCATCGACGTCACCCCGCGCCCGGACGAAACTCAAGGTCGCGGGGGGAAATGGTAAACGAGGAGGCGGCAGCAGTAGCGGTAGCGGCGGCGGCGGCGGCGGCGGCGGCGGCGGCGGCGGCGGCAGCGGCAACACCAGCGGCGGCCCCG